GACATGACCTTTACTTGGTCGCAATTGTTGGAGACCATTAAGATGCGCCGAGGAGATAATAGCATCCACAGTGACAATACACTGCAAGAAATGCCAGCCGGGGAGGCGGGCACGCCCGGCCACTGCCCCCACCACGCTCACTTTCAGAAGGGAAGAGAAATGTTTTTCTCTGCAGCGCCCTCAGCTCCCTATCCCTCTTCTTTGTCTAGACATAAATGAGCCATTTGCTAATTGTTTAACAGCGATTAAGAAAGTTAAGTGTGAAGGGGAGAGGCAGAGAAAGCAGATGGGTGTTTGTGAGCTTGCTTGCCAATTACCAGCGGCTGAGCTGGGGCCAGAGACCAAAGCTGGCTCTTGGGATACCTGGAGGCCCCGCAGAGCCTGGGCCCTACAGGCCAGCCTGGGCCCTGGGCTGCAGGCTGGGAAGAGAGCAATGCACCCCAGACCCCGTCCAGGCGTCAGTGAAGCCATCCTTTCCTTGTCACAAAATCCCTCTAGAGTCAGGAGTAGACCAGCGGGGACCTGCCCTGCGCCCTCCTGCGCTCCCCAGGCCCGTGTGCTTGTGACTGGGCTCTAGTCAGCAGTGTTCAAGCTGCTTTTCCCTGGAACATTCCATCTTTCTCTGCAGGTAACAAAAGGGAAAGGGTTTCTCAGTTCCCAGATGTACCAGGTGAAGCCGCAAAGCTGTTGGCAGGAAGGCCTGCAAGTCCAGCCAAGAGGAAGATGAAATCCTTCGGACGGCTGGGCTTGGGCCCAAAGTGACTTCCACTGTCTGAAATCCAGTTGCCAAGACCAGCTGCCACCTCTACACTGCTTTAGCTGGTGCCCAGGCCGTGCTGGAGCAGCCCCTGAGGACTGCGCCTTGGGGATCCGCACAGTTCACCCTGCCTTCCAGTCCTGCCCAGACTTTCTTTCCTTCTTACACAACTGCAGGCAGATGTAGAACTGAACGATCAACCCACCGTCTACCCATCTGCTCATCCACCAATGGTCAGGTCATTCCAGGCAAAGTCCAGCCCTGTCCACGTGCTCTTCAACCCCTACTAGCCACGACCCCTACCAGTTTCTCTAGACTCATTCCCACAGTAAGTCAACCCCCATCTCCACCCTGAAGGTGACAGCCATGTTGACATTGGGGCTCTAGCGCCCCCCGCCCCCAGCCTTGCTTCCCGTTCCTTTTCATGCCCCTCCTCCTGGAGACAGGAGCCCCCTGACCTGTCTCTTGCTCATTCTTTCCAGTCTTGAGAGCTCAGAGGGACCAGCACCTCCTCTAAGAAGGCCGCTGACACCTCCAAACTGGGAGATGGCGGAGGACTTTCAACCACCGTTGTCTTGATCTGTTAATGTCTGAGGTTGGGAACTGTATGAGGAAGTTTATCCAGCTCGCAGGGCCTCCTGGGCTACACATGCGTCCTGATGATGGTATCTTAGTGAGAGTGTGAGACAAGATCTCGTGGTAAAACAGGAATCCAGAGCCCTGGCCGAGGCTGGCTAAGAGACTCAGTCCACACCACCGGTGCTGATCTCTTCCAAGGGCCCCGCTGATCCAATTATCTCAGAGGAAAACTGACTTCTTACCGGTCGGTCCCACCACAGCCACTGGAACCCAATAATCTTCCAGACCACCTGTTCTTCTGCAAGTAGATCGCTTCTCAATTTGTCAATCTTCCTCGTAATTTCCATGAAAACTGGGACTTTGTCTGCTTCTTCCTTAGCCATATCCCTAGTACTTAGCCCGGTGATTGACACACCATTAGAAAGGACTCAATAAGTATTAATTGGATTTCTGCACTACATCAGCTTTCCTTGCTGTGATATCCTAAGCAGTTAAGGACTGCCTAGGGTAAAATGATGTTGGCTGCCCAGAAGCTGAGCCCAGGGTCCCGGTCTACTTCCCCCTCTGAGTGGGTTGGGTGGGCGGCTGGCCTGCAGTGTTGATTCCCGATAGTGTGGCTCCACGGAATTGGAATACACTGGGGCCGCGCATGTACGCGGGTACCGCGTCTCAGACTGTGAATTCCTACCGATGCTCTCTTTGATCCTGGGAGGGGGGAGAGCTCTGAGTGGCTCCTTGGCGTGGGATCACTGAAGAAGCCTGCCTCAGACGAGAGTCCTAACAGCCCTCAATTCTAGAAGCCTCCGACTCTCCAGGGCCCAGACACAGAAGGAAAGTGTATCTGATGTCACCCAGGGAGAGACAGCAGTGTCAAAGGTGGGCTGACACTCAGACTGCCTTCCTCTGGACGCGCCAACTGGCTCTGCACAGGCTTCAGGGCCAATCAATATACACGCACAGCTAGAACTTGTCGTTATGGGGTGTAGGTTTCCATGGGGATGGCATGATTGGAAAACAACACATTGTTGCCCAAACTATTTTTTTTTTAATGAATTTGACTCAGCAATATGAAATCACCTTTGGTTATCTGTGCATCCTGGCCTCCTCTGTCCTTTCCTGATGCTAATGATCCACAAAGACCAAATCACCACGGGTTGGGAAATCAGTCATTCATTATGTTAAGTGAGCATCCACTACTATTCTCCAGTGATCCCTCTTCTCTGTGTTTTTGGGGGGGCTGTTTTGTTTGTCAGTAGTGGGGGCTTGAACTCTGGGCTTGGGCGCTGTCCCTCAACTCTTCAGCTCAAGGTGAGCGTTCTACCACCTGAGCCACAGCGCCACTTCCAGTTTTCTGATGGTTCCTTGGAGATCAGAGTCCCACAGCCTTTCCTGCCTGGGCTGGCTTTGAACCTGACCCTCAGATCTCAGCCTCCTGAGTAGCTGGGATGACAGGGGTGAGCCACCAGCGCCCAGCGCTTCTGTGTTTTAACCTCAAACAGAAGTGGGGGGAGTGACGGGTTCCAGGCAGAAGACCATGGGTGTCAAACCGCCACAGGCTTTGTCTCTTGGGGTGCCAGTGTGCCGTATGTAGTAGCGTGGTCCCTGGCTTTGGCACTACTCGCAAGTACCGGACCCTTTGCACAATGGGAGCCTGGGGGAGGAGGTAAGGCCACAGTGGAACCCTGGTGCCTTCCCGCTTCTCTCTCTGCTGGACGGCTGCCGTGCAGTGAGCAGCATCCTCAGTCCCACGCTCCCATCGTAATATACTCTGCCATCACAGGCCAACAGAGCCAGACGGCGGTGGACTGAGATCTCTGCGGCCACGCCCATGCGGTTCCCTGTCATCAGCTGACTGGGTCCGGCGCTTTGTTACAGCAGTGGAGAGCTGACTTACATACCACATGTGAGGAACGGGAGGAACAAGCCAGCTTCTGCCAAGGCCGCCGCCTCGGCTCTCCTTTTGTTCTGGGAGGAGTTTTAAGGTAGGGAAACAGAACTCAGTCAGGCGGGTGCTGCTGGCCTTTGTAGACCATGCCCAACGCCACACAGAGATCAGGCCAAGAATCAGCGCAAGAGCTTCTTCAAATCCCAATCCTGCCTACTAAGCCAGCTCTCTACCGGTACCTGAAAGCAGGCGACTTCACATATACAAAAGGTAATGTCACAGCCCAGACCGGGGTCCCTGACCAGCAACTATTCCCAGAGAAGTTCTCCAGGCACCTGACAGTATTTCAACCCACCACATCTGGCAGGCGGCAAGCTCAGGGCCATGGGGACCTGGCATTTTTAGTTCCACCTGTGAATAAAAGAAGTGCCAGAGCAGGTTTTGCCCAGGGCTTGATGACTGCATACCACTTGAACACAGAACCCTAATCCCCTGCTGATACCTCGTGGCTGGACTCCAGTCTCCAGCTGGAGTATCGGGTTGTTCATTCCGGACTTGAAGGCAATTATTTGAACAGTACAAATCGGATCTTCACGAAGACAGAAGCATTAAAAGGAACTGCTAACTCTGCCAATGCCCTGGGCTGGGTGTTTAGCTAAGGATCTTGGCCAGAACTGGCATGGCTTATTTTTTCAGTCACTAAACTCTGTCTCTGTCATCCTGGCAAACTCACAGCGCGCTGCGCACGTGAGAATCCCCGACTGCGCTCGACCCAATACTACTTATGAGCACCCATCCTGAGTGCGCCCCATGCCGAATACCTGCAGATGTATTCCCACCCGTGTTTTCTCCCATCCGTGTTTTCTGACCAACTGGCAGCGGGCAGTAGGCAGCTACTGAAAGAGAGAAGGAAGACCTGTCCTACACACGATTCTGGAACGGCAAGGAATCAGACTGCAGGGCCTCGCTAACACAAGGAAAGCCACTGCTGTTTAGAGTTGACAACATACAGCAGGGTTACTTTTACATACGCCAGGTAGTAAGTACAGGTCCTTCACATGGTGTCATCTGTTCCCTCGCTCTCTTCCATCCCCTCCCGCCCATCTCCTCCCTTGATGAACTCTACTTTCGGTGAACAAAAGCATCTGGTGCGCGCATCGCAAGATCATTAGGGGAAAGCGGCTAGGGCCACAGAATCACCAGAATACACCTCGGAGCTGGACTGTCGGAGAGCTTCCCCAGGGCTGGCCATTCCCTGCGGACTCGCTCACAGAGAGAAGCCATCAGCGCCCCCGCAGCAGGGCGAGGGCGGTGGGGGCAGAGGAAAGGACGGAGACCCACACAGCGCCACACAGCACGGTGGCCGGGAGCGAGCAGGGCGTTGACAGCGTGCTGTCCACTGGCTCCTCGGCCACGGAGCCCAGGAGAGCTGCCAAGCAGCTCTGCTGCTGCTGGATGAGGTGAGCGGCGGCAGAGCGCCCGTCCCGACACACACTGTTCACAAGGTGGTGACCCGAGCCCCTCCCCCCCCCCAGACCCAGCTGTGTGACCGGCATCCTCCACTTCACTCCTCCGGGCCCCTCTGGGTTTACTTCCGGGTCGCAGGCAGTTATACACCGCTGTCCCTGGGGTGCCTCTCCGGCAGAGCGCTCTCTGAGCACATCTGCCTGGCAGCTGTTCAAGGGCAGGGCCCTGAGCCACCAAGGGGCTCATACAGAACACACGAGCAAACCTGGGGGCTTTCTAATGACAGAAACAACGAGCACCGTGAAGACTGACCTTGGAGGTGTAGGTGTGGCCGTCCGAGCCGCAGACCATGGCTGACTGCGCCGAGGGGCAGGGCTTGCACTTGACCAGACTCGAGGGACCCACCCAGGGTTGGTGGGCCGCGCCGCCCTTCTTTTGCCTAAGAAGAAGAGGGGAGGTGTTAGCTCAGGTTTTACTCCCCATTAGTCCTTTCAGGCTCGAAACAGCCCTCCGCCAGGCAGGGGGGACCCTGACCACCCCAGCCATACAGCCATTCCTTCGAGCTCACTGATGGGGGCTAAAGGTGTTGCCACAAAAGCCCAGATGGTCACCATTAAAATGTTGTACACTGTCGTAAAACACAATTCCAAGGCGCTGGTGGTTCACACCTGTCATCCCAGCTACTCAGGAGACTGAGCTCTGAGGATCGCAGTTCAAAGCCAGCCTGAGCAGGAAAGTCCATGAGACTCTGATCTCCAATGAACCACCAGAAAACCAGAAGTGCTGCTGTGGCTCAAGTGGTAGAGCGCTCGCCTTGAGCTGATGAGCTGAGGGACAGCGCCCAGGCCCAGAGTTCAAGCTCCATGATCGACAAAACAAAAATAAAACCAAAAAAAACCCCACACAATTCCATTACTCGTAGACACAGAGAGGGATTCACAGTGCCTTTTGAAGGAACAATTACGGATGGCAGTTCAATGCCAGGTGTGGCCCAGCAGAAGGCCTCTCAGAGCTGATGGGCAGCCTTCCGTTTGAGTGACACACAGGCAAGCATGTGATCACGTGACACAGAGACACAGCACCCAGCCCATCCAAAGGCCTTGATCGCGGCTGGAGAAAACTAGCGCTGGATATATTTTAAAGCAATTTCAGCCTGGCTCCCGATTTGCTAGTCGATACCGGCTCTGGGGTGATGTCACTCCCAACGGCCCAAATCATCAGAATTCTCTCTTTTCATTCCAGCTCCGGTCCCCCAGCCTAACCTTTGTCATAATGATAAATGACACCATTAGGATGGCTTGTGTCCACAGAAGTAACCTCATCTCTGTATCATAAAACCACCGAAATAGAGGCCTGCGGTGGCTGCCCCCCCCCTTCCTCCCCGAGCCCAAGCTGCTCTCCCAGAAAACCACTCAGAGGGACACTCCTGGCCAGGGGGCTGGGCTCAGGTAGGGGACCAGTGTCTGCACTGCCCATCAATCAAGCAATTACCATGTCCTTGAAGAGCGTTTGCATGGCAGCCCTGCAAAGCGGTGGCAGTACGTCAGACTCTGCAACCATCTAGACACGGGTTCAGACTCAGCACTGACACTCACGTCGCCACGACAAGGTATTCCATCCTGCCAGCCTCAGTTGAGAGTCCCCACCTGCTGGCTTTCCTAAGGGAGGAAGGGGAACCTCCAAGAGGGGCCGAGTCTTGCCTGAAGTCATGGGTGGGTCTGGTGGCTGGGCCCAGGGAAATAGTTACAGTCGCAGGGAAGGATCCACGGATGCATCTTTGTCTTCATGCATCTCGGTTCAACTAGAACACTAGCTTCAAAGTTCTTTGAGATGTAATAGACGGAGTGAATGAGATCAAAGCATAGGATAGGCGATCACAAGATGAAACCTCTCTGTGTAATCACTAGACCCGGACTTAAAAGTTCTTTGCAGACAGCTCTGTGTGTGCTCCACCGATTTCTCGCTTCCACAGTGGCTACCCACATTGGCCCCACCTCTCTGCCAATACTGAAGAAGAATGCCAGGTACCCCTGGCTCATGTCTGTAATCCCAGAAACTCAGGGGGCTGAGGCCTGAGGATTAAGGTTTGAAGCCATCCTGGGCAGGAAAGTCCAGGAGACTCTTATCTCCCATGAACCAGCAAAAAGAAGCCAAAAGTGGAGCTGTGGCTCAAGTGGTAGAGCACCAGCCTTGAGTGGCAAAGCTAAGGGACAGCGCCCAGGCTTTGAGTCCATGCTCCAGAAAGGAAAAGAAGGAAGAAAGGAAAAGAAAAAAAGGAAACCTATCACTTAATATTCAGGTCACATGGCCTTGCGGTCTGGAGCTTGGCTTCAGCAGACATGCTTGCTCCTCTGGTTGGCGGTGCCGGGGGAGGGACAGTGGGAGGGGGGGCTCCACTCGCAGAGCAGGCTGCCCGCCTGGGGTGCGTCGTGAGAGATCATGATTCCTTTAGCCCACATTTATCATCATCTGCACAGCAGACTGCCTGACACTGATAATGAATCGGCAGATGCATGGAGAAGTTCCAGCAGCTGGCAGCCCCCTTTGCTGGGGTCAGTTGCTACACATGGAAGCAATTCTAAGTTTCCAGAAAGGGCCGTGAAGTCCAAACAGCGGCAGGGTGGCTGGGGAGTGCGTGAGTGTGTGTGATGGTGCTCCTGAGGGAGGCTGGCTGTGTGTGTGTGTGTGTGTGTGATGGTGCTCCTGAGGGAGGCTGGCTGTGTGTGTGTGTGTGTGTGTGATGGTGCTCCTGAGGGAGGCTGGGTGTGTGTGTGTGAGTGTGTGATGGTGTTCCTGAGGCTGGGTGTGTGTGAGTGTGTGTGTGTGTGTGTGTGATGGTGTTCCTGAGGGAGGGTGTGAGTGTGTAGGATGAGGGAGGCTGGGTGTGCGTGAGTGTGTGCGATGGTGTTTCTGAGGGAGGCTGGGTGTGCGTGAGTGTGTAGGATGAGGGAGGCTGGGGTGTGTGAGTGTGTGATGGTGTTCCTGAGGCTGGGTGTGTGTGAGTGTGTAGGATGAGGGAGGCTGGGAGTGTGTGAGTGTGTGATGGTGTTCCTGAGGCTGGGTGTGTGTGAGTGTGTACGATGGTGTTTCTGAAGGAGGCTGGGTGTGCGTGAGTGTGTAGGGAAGGCGTCTGAAGGGTCTTAGCATAAGGCTGGAGGGAAGGCGGACGCTGAGCCCCTGGCTGGCTGGCAGCCCGCAGACCATGGCACTGCTGTCTGTAGATCTACCCTGCACCATTCAGTGGCGTAGGGAGGTGAGGCTGGCTGGTGCCTCGTGGAGGGCCTGGTACCACCCGGCTACTTTAGATGTACAGACTCTGCAGTGGCCATTGTACACTTAGGCCCCAAATCCCAGGTCAGGAGCAGACAACTCCTTAACACTGAAGTTAGATATCCATCCGCACTTTATAGCGGAGGAATTAGACACGAGGGAAAGTGACTTACGGGGCCACGCAGACACACAGCAGTTACAGCACGCATGTTTCTGCACTGCCGTGATCCAGGGCGGTCGGAATCTCCTACCTGGGATCTGCACGTTCATCACCGGGGTTTCATTTTACATATAGACCTCCTTTCAAATCCTGCCCCCGCTTGGATCTCTAGGTGGAGAGGAATACGCTCCACACCCCTGTGAGCAGCCGTGAATCAAATCGTGCTGGGGAAGAACCACAAAGCCTAAGCCATTCCAAGTTCCCCAGCATGGCTGTTGGGGGTGGGGGGTCAAACTCAGCCGCTCCTTACCTAACCCCAGGGGTGATGGCGGCCGCGTTGGCCGTGGTCTCTGTCCGGAGCCCGTGCGTGGACAGTTACGTATGAGAATCTGGGAGCCCGACCAGGCGTAGCTTCCCTGGCAGCTGTGTTTGTATTTCAATCCCCACAGTTCAGAACAAATATTTTTTTAAAAAAAATCAACCTACTTGGTCAAGATAAGAGACTAAGATTTCTGACTCAAATATTTCCATTCTCGAGTCAAAGAAGAGTGGAATGCAGTGGTGTGTATTGCTGGGCTGGCTATGTCCCGGGTCACAGACCCTCACCAGTGGGGGGAGGGGAGTAGAACCCAGTAATTTGGGCTGGTGGGACCAGGCTTCCCCTTGGTCACCAGGCTGACTCCATCTCGGCCTGGGTGACATTTTCAACCCGGATCATACAGAAAACCCCAGCCGACGTGCTCTTCGTAAGTGACAGCGCACAGGACCCTCACCCAGTATTGGTAATTATCATCTGCAAAACTATTTGGACTCCATCTGTTTTTTCTTAATTCCCCACATTCATGATTTTGAAGAAGGACGTATTGATCGAGTCATGTGACTCCCACCCTGAGCGCCCCATCTGTCCATCCGTTAGGGCGCTCTAGAGCCTCTGAGTTTGGGTATTTACGATTCCACCCTGCCCCCGGCAGCGGCGGTGGCTCTGATCGTTTCTCTGACACCTGCAAGCACACATACACAGCATGACTGCTATGAAGTTCTGTCACTTTTCACTAATTCCCAGAGTGCAGCAAGGACCCTGATACTTCTGTGCCATTGTATCGCCTTTTCCTCCAGCTGGCGTGCCATTTTCCTGCTCCCATCTCCCCTTCATCCTTTCTTCACGGCTGGTTCAAACGCCACTTCCCCAGGAAGCCTCCCGAGCCTCTGCCTGGGCTGGAGGGCTGCATGTGTGCTCTATTGTGGCCCAGCGGTCAGTTCTGGTCAGGTCAGACTCCAAACCACTGCCCTGATTCCACCCAACTGAAGAACAAAAGGCGACCATTATTCCAACAGAGCATGGCCATGTGCAGACCGAAAGCCTGGGCGCGGCCCCTGCACACCTGCCTCTCCCGGCCCTTCCCGGATTCCCTACCTCTCAGTTCTACTGGTTCTGTCAGCAGCCAGACATACTGGCCACGCCCCAGCCCTCCCGTGGGCCCTGCAGCTTCGGGTGGGGAGGACTTTCTATCCACACAGCAACGCCATTCCTGTTCAAGCTCCTCATTCATGCCTTCTGGGAAGGATTTCCTGTGACCCTCAGCCCCACAGCATGGCAATGTCTGTCCCAACACAACAACTTTTAGACCTGGCAGTGACACTCAGTGCAGCATGAAGTCTGTTTGTTTTTTGGCCTCTGCACACTCCCCAAGCATTGCTGGGTCTTCTTTTGGCTTTAGGAGACAAGATCTTATTATGTAGCCCGAGCTGGCCGTGAACCTGTGATCCTCCCTTCCTGTGTCTCCCATGCCCAGTGCCCAGAAGTGCCTGGTCTTAACTGTTTCTGTACTTCTGTTATTGGGAAAGATGGGTTGATCCTTGTTGTGCGAACCTGCGCAAAATAAGTGAATTCATTAAAAAAGAACTTCTGGGCTGGGAAGGTGGCTCAGTGGTAGAGCACTAGCCTTGAGCTGAAGAGCTGAGGGACAGCGCCCAGGCCCAGAGTTCAAGCCGCACGACCAACCAAAAAG